ATGTTAACCTAAATTATAAAATTAATTTCACTATCCTAGCTACACTAGAAATATCCAAAGGCAAACATATATCAGTTATACCAATATAAAAACAATTACAAAAATATTCTATAATGCAATTAAAAATAAATGAGGAAATAGACCAGGTATACAAAACCTGAGTCACATAAATCCGGACGCTATACAAATTGTAATAACTTTAACCATGGTTAACTCATTGGATTAATCTATATACCATTTGATAGCTTATTTATGGATGTTTAAAGCCTTGTATTAAAAAATTTTAATATAAACCACAACTAGATTTAACCGCCGATTCTCTTAGACGACTATCTAAACATGTTTTCCACTCTATGTTAAAGTATAACAAAGCTTATAAATTCATATTTGATTATTATCGGTCTTTATAAATATTACCAAGGTATAATTAGATTATATTAAGACTAATTTAAGCTAGATATATTGTATTATAACTATTTTTGATAAAATACATAGCTAGTTTGCAAAGTAATGTTTCATCATTAAAAAGCCGAAAAATTTTCATACGATTATCATTCTTCTAAAATATTAATTTTATGGATTATTTATAATTTTAGAATTAAAAATCTAGCACAGAATAGTTAAAATCATATTGATATAACCTGATTATATCTTGATAATATTTAGAAAGACCAATAATAATCAAATATTAATTTATAAACATTGCTATACTTTAACATAGTGTGGAAAACACGTTTTGATAGTCGTCTAAGAAAATCAGCGGTTAAATCCAGTTATGGTTTATATTTAAAAATTTTAATACAAGATTTTAAACATCCATAATTAAGCTATCAAATGGTATATAGATTAATCGAATTAGTTAACCATGGTTAAAGTTATTACAGTTTTAAAACGTCCGGATTTATGTGACTCAGGTTTTGTAAGTGGATATGAGTATTGTTCTAGCAGGTTTAAAAAAAATAGATTTTCGGATTTTCTCACGAGGATTTAGAAAATACAACAAAATGTGATTATACTGTATAATATATTATGTGTTTTGATTATTGTTATTTGTAAGAAACCATTTAATCATATGGTATGAACTGATATAATATGCAACAAACGACCAAAAAGTACATATAATACAAATCAACATATAATACACTTTGTCAAATAATCTTCTTATACAACTCAATGTACATCATTTCTATTGTGTATTTTTACGCACGTGTACCTCAATATTGATTATAAATACAAAGTAAAAATCTTATCTTTAATAAGGATTATACAATGTTAAAAGTAACATTGAAATTTTTAATAGACTGTAGATGTTGTAATGGATTTTAATGTTATTAAATATATAAAACATTAATTAATATATTACAGTGTAATAAAATATACAATATAATTTACTATTTATAATATTAGTATATAATTTCTAAAATCAATTGATTAATAATTTTTTTAAAATATCAGTATAATAATGTTTTAAATCTAATTACATTACTAACACTTAATACATTTTTATAATATTGATAATTAATTGATTTAGTAACTGGGGCTCAATTCTACCACTGTATTCTAATGCACTAAAAATGTTCCTTGTTTAAATACATGTTTTAATCTATTTTAATATGCTGAAGTTGTTGAATATGCTCAAGTATTTAGAATATAATTTATATTGTAAGTTTGGTCAATCCATATGCGATAATTCACATTAACGCAAATAATTAAAACTATAAAAGCAAATCGTTTAATTAATTATCAATCATTACTTTCACTTAACAATAATTGTAATAATTACACAATTAGTTGCCATCCATAATGACTTTCCGGATAATATTGTTGTTGTGTTTTGTAAGCGTAATAAAAAGCCAATTTGTTTGGAAAGATTGCGGTGCGAGTGATGCTTATTTTAGATTCAATTCACTCTCTGTCACACCTTTCCCAATTAACTACCCAGGTCAGTTTTCCATTATATATTTTGTTTATTAAACAAAATACATGATAATTTTAATATGAATGCAGGATCAGAAGAGGTAAAAATCGAGGGCACTATTGTCAAAGACATACCGGTGGAAAACTTTGAGTTTGTAATAAACGCTACTAAACTGACCCCGTACAAAATGCAAATACCATGCATTACTGATTTTGGATCATGGTTTGTTTCTATACTCGATTGTTATAATATACTGTATTTACGTAAATATATTTGTAATGTTTAGTACATATGATTACTGCGAATACGCAAAGAAAAAGACCCAAGACTTGTACACAATCTTCGCGCCCATTGAGTGTCCACTTAAGGCAAACAAATACTCATTTGACTTAAAGGACAGGAAACTACCCGATGTCGGCGATATCTTCAAGAAGATCCTCGAGGTATTGTTCACACATATTAAGCCTTATTTGAATGTTATTACTATTTTTAACATTTTAATTTAGGGTCAATTTGAAGCGACCGGCACTTATAGAAATGGCAAAACAGGACAAGTCTATGGTTGTCTTTATGGTAAATTTGAAGTAAAGCTATAGATATACTGTATATTCTGGCGATTTTATTGTTTAAAACAATGTCTATTACTATTGTATTCATTTGCAGTAATGTATTGTAATTTGTTATAATTATAAAAATCAGAAAAAGCATTTAAAAATCATTAAATTTAAAATTAAAACGTTTATTTTAAATTAAATATTTGTATTATTATTTTATGTCAATACAAAAAATAACAGAATATTATGGTATAATATTTTGTTATACTATTTAAAACATTAAATGTCTTTTGCTTGTTCAATTTAAACAATCCCCATTAAATATTGCACAACAGTTAAAATGTTATTTACTGAAATATGGCCACGTTATATGTTATATGTGTTTTTCTACCAGAATATTCTGTATTTATATAGTATTTATTATGTTTGGTAAATAATAGAGCGGAATGTAATAAAACATTTAAATTGTTTGTTTTGTACCATATATTCTGAGAAATGCAATCACTAATACATGCATTACGTTTTGCTTTCGGTTTATTTTATTTTTTTAATATAATAAATAAAAAATTAAATCCAATAGAGTTTTTGCATTAATGCTTTATTCAACGTAAGAATTTAATGTGGGATTTATAATAGGAAAAGAAAGTAGTGATAAAATTGGTGTAATAATAAATATATATGTCATTTATGTTTATGAGATTTAAACATAATGAGTTTTGCTTTAGCATGAGTTTTGAATTAAATAAAAAATTTTATGCGTTAAATAGATGATTTAGTTCAACGTCTATGTCATTATTGGAGCTTTCATTGATTGGATTTCTTGAGGGTCTTATTAATTGTATTAAATTAATAAACGGATATTCAATGAATATATACATTAAATATGAAATTATTAACATAAGTGTTGTGTCAATATATAGTGATTGAGCCTAAAACGTAAAATAAATTAAAATAAATGTTTAATTTAATATTTTTACTAAAGTTCTTAATTAACCTGGTTAATATGACTGATTGTTGTATTATATCGTTTGCTGTGAATTCGGTAATTAATAAATACGAAACTTATCATGCCTAATCCAATTGTTAGCTTATTTATGGCGTAAAATAGCCTCGTTTGTAATATTTTATCTATAAAACCTAAAAAAGATTTATCATTATTAAAATAGTATTTATGTTATTAAAATTATTAGTAATTTTTAATGTACCATTTTGATTTGTAAA